AGTAGTGTCCACTAACTGTACTTTTTACAGGACAGACGAGGAGACTGATGCTAACACTTCTAGTCAAAGTCTAGTCATTTATCCATGTTGCTAGTTGAATAATTTCCGTTGTCACGACGACGTTTCGCCTCTCATCCAAGAGGAGTACAGCATATACATACTGAGGGTGGGACAAAAGATAAAGCTACTTCAGGTCCCTCCTGTTGGGTGGGCCGTTGGTGTCATCTGGGCAAGTGATAACAGTTGTAAGGAGTCTGATGGGTCATTGTAATCCTCATCAGAATAGTTTCAGTATGTTGGTGATAGGTTATGTCTTAGCCCACCTCCTCTGTTGAGTGAAAATTTCATGTCCAGTTGCCTAATGGAAGTCTTCAACAAAGAAAAGAGTTGTTTTTCTTTCAACTCTTGGATTTGTATGGAATTGGGAGGTGACCCTCCAGTCATTTAAAGTAGAACATCAGAAATAAGTGAAACCTTGTAGCGGTCACTAAAAATACATGAAAACATCCAATATTTATCTCATGCTCTGTTCCAGTAGTGTCCACTAACTGTACTTTTTACAGGACAGACGAGGAGACTGATGCTAACACTTCTAGTCAAAGTCTAGTCATTTATCAATGTTGCTAGTTGAATAATTTCCGTATATATATCTATAGGTTTTTGCTTTTTCCACTTTCTGAGCAATTTGTTACACCTTTGATGACATGTATAAGTTTCATTATAAGCTGAACATGTGGCTGTTGAAGTGACTATGTTTGTAGCTGCTTTTAAGGAAAATCTATTTGTTTGTGTGAACGTGTGGCACAATGCTGTTGTTCTTCTAATCTGCAGGTTCTTCCACGGTGCATACGAGGAGGAGTTTGGTTTCATCAACTGTGGCTTTCCAACCTGAATAAGCTATGTTAATGACTCTGTGTACCATGTCATTGACAAACTAGTGAGCCTACACCTGGTGGATTGCAGATGCCGTGCAGGTCTATCTCACCTGGTAACACCTGGTGTCCCGGCACCACTAGGGAGCAGCAAAGCACTTTTAAGTGAATGTTAGATTTGAATGCACCATTTTGTCAAAGCAGAGATTTTGTTTGAAGATGTTTTTCTTTGTACGGATCTTTGTATCAAATGCTGCTTTTATAAGTTTACTCTTTATAAGTTTAATCCTGCAATTCTGTCATTGTCCACTGCAGCTGGTAAAAAAACAAATGTAGTGAGTTAATGAGCAACATTACCAAGCTTTAATGAGGCCCTTGTCTGTTTAAATGTTTGTACTTTTTTTCAAATGTCTTATGATAACCATTGACTAGTTTCACCCAGCAGTAAAAGTTCCTTGCATGCTGCATGTCAGAACAGCTCAGGGGTCAAGCACTCTGACACTGGTACCAGGCTTCAAATTGAAATGCATTAGAAAAGACACCTGGTACCAGGTGTCACCAGGTGAGGGTTTTCACTTTCTTTTTTTTTTATATATAGCTGAATACACCTTTGATGACATGTATGAGTTTCATTA